ACAGAATTTTATTGTTGTTAACAACCATTTGATCAATAAACATGAGAGATGCCCTCTCAAAAAAAAAAATTGTTTGCTAGCTTCATATAGAAAGTTATGTCTCAGTGATTTAGAAACACGAGATTAGTATGAGTTACATTTTACTGTTTTATATTCTGAATTCTAAAAAAAACTCATTAACCAAGGGCTCATAACTTTAAAAATCACAATCAATAAAAATACTGAAGAATTCACATGTTTTTTTACTAGCACACAAACTAACCCTAAAATGAGTAACAAACTAGGTAACTATTAAGAAATGTTATAGTTAAAATGTTATTTTGTTTAACATTTCTGGCCTCTATGCCCAAAGAACATTGAAGAGATGTCTATTTTCACTTTATATTTTTTCACCAACACTTAAATAAATAGCAAAGTGTGGAAATAAATGTTAGGATCAAAATAGGTATAACATAACACATATGATCCCATATACATCCCTGGCCTCTATGCTATGTGTCCTCAACCCCTCCAAGATGAAATAAGATGGCACAGAAATCCACATTAGTATCTACAGGCATCCAGAATGACAGCTGTCTGTAGGGCTTTTAAGAGTTTTCAGTTACCAGACTCTGGTCCTCTTCTCCCCGTCCATCCTCACTCTGAGACATACAGTACCAATTCTTTAGTTCACTAGCTCTCTCAGATATTTGTCACTAATGTGTGGATTTTCAAAAAGTTAGTTGCTTCTTCCTAAGCCTTTCCACATGATTTTTGGCTACTGGTTTTGATATGCGGATGGCATGATTAGCATGAGGAGAATATTTGCAAAAACTCTGAATTTTCAAATTCTTTTCTCCTTTTATCATTCTGTATAGAAAATAATCAGACTGATAAGGTCTGTCTGGGTTCCTTCCTTACATTATCTATTTAGTAAATAGGATATAATGTACTAAATGTTTCTGTAGTATGCAAGTCAGCCAATTCCTGTGAGCACTGCTCATCTCTGGCTGCAGCATCTCATCTCCTAAAAGCTACTGAGCTGGAATGGAAATTTCTCATTTGATTTAAATCCTAAGACATCAATCAAGTCTATAGGAGAAAGAATACTCTCACACATGTGGAAAACAGCCATCAGGGATTAAAAACAGGTATCTGGCAAGCATTTAAATACTATAAGGAGCCTAAAATGAAGAATGATGAGCTCTCATATACTTTCCTTTCTCACACCATAAAAAAGGCAGACTGTCTGAAAGGTTTTGAGTAATTGCAAGCAGTTCTACCATAAATTGCTGTCTAACCAAAATAAATCCTTTAACCTCTCTACTTTGGTTTCCTCATCTATATGACAAATACATGAATGATTAAAATGTCTTAGAACAGCTATTCAAATGTATTGTATTGCTCTGTACCAGGCTTGAGAACAAAGTTTACTCTGAGACAGCAGAAATGTACAAGAAACAGCATTTAGCTAAAGCTCCCAAACTAAACACTTGAAGTTTATTATGAGCCCCAATGTGGATGCTCACTCAGACAAAACGCTCACATGACCCCTCCCTCCTCACCTTCCAGACAGGCCACTGCTCTCACCTCAGTCCCAATATCACTCTGATTGTCACCATGCTCTCCACACAAGTTCATTGGAAGCACTCCTGCACAAAGCTGCTGTGCTACAAATAGTCACAAGGCAAGAGAGAGGCTGCCAGGCCACAGCAGGGAAGGAGGGCCTGGAGCATGGTGAAGAATCCTACTGGGTCTCCCCCGCGGAAGCACAGAGCACAGAGGCCGAAGAGTCCTGTGGGCCCTCCTGCCTCTCCCTCACACGCTGTCGACACTCTCACAGGTCCTCTCAGGCTCCTCGTCTCCTTCCTTGTATCTCCAGAGACTAGTCCTTGGAAACAGCGAGAGATCTGATGCTCATTAGGTAAATATGTTCATAGAATAATTCTGCAGAGTGGGAGCATACAGCAAGAAGATAAACAACCAATCTGAGAATTCTACCCCAGCCTTTATTATGGAGCAGGAAAAAATATAAAGGAATAACTTATCTTCAAAGTAAGAGGTATATACTAAGTGTATTCAATAACTGGTGTTTAAATCATAAAAAAATCAATGACACTATTTGTACAGTTAAAAAAGCCCTGCCATTTCTAGTTATTAGGCCCTAGTTCTCTTTGACTATCTGTAAAATGCTTTAAAATCTATACATACAAGTAACTTTTAGACACTGTATTTCTCAAATAAGGAAAAGTCATATAATGCCCATTGGTTTCTCTCATCTACTAACTGTATACTCACTTTGTTTTTGCTTCCTATACACAAAACTTTTCCCTTCTGTTGCCCTTAAAGATACACTTCATTTCATTTGCATCATCCTTTAAGGTTTGTATTTCTTAACAGTCTAATCAAACATTTTACCACTAATTCTAGGAAGGAAACACTGAATGAATTACCTCCCATTAATCTCAGTATATTTCAATTTTAGGAAATCATTAAGAAAGAAACCAGGTTATTTGGAGGTAAATCCCCCATTTTCACTGATATTCAAGATGTGAATGATGACTTCTTTTATTGCTTATTAGATAACAATTCTTTTCCCTTCTGAGAAATCTATGCAATAATCTCTTCTGGGAGCTTCTTGGTCCCAGACCCTAAATACTGTGAAATATTGAAATTACAATGGGAATTCCATGTGGAAGTCAAATTATAGCAAGAAATTGGAATGGAATTCCTTAGACAGATCTTATTTATAAACTATAATCGTTTGGCCTCAGACTCAATGAAACGGAAGTATGGAAAGGTTACTACCGGCACCTGCTGGAGTGTATCTGTGCAGTTGTCCCTCAAAGCTCTTTTGTGTCACACTTTGAAATACCCATGTTATAATCTGTTTGCCATGAAGTCCTCCAAAATAAGAAAAAATTATTAAATAGAATCATGTAGTTTCCCGAGGATAACCAGCTTCTGATTTAAAACACTGCCTTAATTTTCTCAATCAGTATGTATTAAACAATGGTCCTAAGGTGAACTATTTGGAAAACCAAAATCCAGATATTAAGGAAGTAATTTTAATATGCAACTCTGAATCATTCCAAGCATGACAGTAGTTTTCTTCCTCAGTTACTTTTATATCATTTTATTTCTTTTTTGTCTTTAATGGTGTCACCATTTTAAGAGCCAAATTAAACATAACCATGGGAGAACCTTTTCCTGTTTCTGTTTTGAATTGCTTCAATACTCTTTCAAGAAATATTTAGTCAAGCTGTTGGAACAATGGTTAACATGGGCTTTGGAATCAGATTTAGACTCAAATTCCTGTTACACAATTAATATAACTTCAGGGTTCTTCTCTAAGTTCCATTTTCTTCTTCTGTTTAACAGAAAGAGTAATACCTACCCTAAGGATAGCTGCAATCAAAATGAGATAACGTATCTGAAGCATACTGCTGAGAACCAGACACACAGTAATTACTCAACAAATGGTAGCTATTATTTTATACATACATGCACACTGAAAAATCTGGAAGGTAGGAGAAAAAGTATCCATAATTCTATCACCCTAGTCACACACACATGTATTTTTTTTGTAATTTGTGTCCACATAAAAACTTAATTTTATGTTACTATAATTGTAACATACAATTTTGTCTTTTCACATTATAATAAGTTTTCCATGTTAGCATGTAGGATTCATAATTACCTTTTTGATTTGCTGAATGAGATTCCATTAAGTAAACTACCATAATCTAACCACTAAATCCCTACCAAATATATGAGGTTTTTTGATATTACAAATAATGCTACATAACATTTGCATGAGTATAGCTTTTTCATCTGAAATTCTTTCCCAAAGCAGGCTTTTTAGAGTAACCATGAACTCTTTCATGACTTAGATTAGTTTTGCCAAACTGCTTTCTGCAAGTTTATAAAATTTGTAGTGCTTCCACCAATGGGCATAAACACTATGACCTTTCCAGTCTTTAGTATTAATACTAATTTATTACATTTATTGAATATTTACTATGTGCCAAGCAATGGTCTAAGGGCTTCACATATATTATCTCATCATCCTCACAACAAATCCTTAAGTAGTTACTTTTAGTTAGCTGCTTTTGCATATGAGAAAGTTAAGGTTTAGAAAGTTTAAAAAGCCATGTCCATGGTCACACAGCAAGTAAGTGGTAGAACCCGGACCCAAACTCAGATCCTGTCTAATGCCACAGTGCTCTTTCTTACTTTTTTTCCCAAAAAAAAATAACAGATGAGAAGATACATTTTCACTGATGCTTTAATGCTCAGTTCTTTGGTTACTAGCAAAGCTGATCCTTCTTATATGTTTGTTGTAAAACTGTATTTTCTTGTATTATTTGTTCATAGTACTCAGCAACTTGTGTGCAGTGGGGGGTAGGGGAACAATTTTTATTTCCTGTGTTTTTTTTAACTAATTGGGTGTCTCAACACAACCTTCACACCAGAGGTCCAGGTCCCTTCTTGATGAATTCACTGAGCTGTCAGTTTATAAGAGAAGGTGCTTCTTCTCTTTCCCCTCCTTCCTGCCCAACATGGGCTGAATACAAACAGGTTATAGAAAGTTATCAGGTCCCTATCTTTTCAACATTACTCACTTGTGATATGGCTCCTGCCTGGTTTGGAACACCCTGTCATGAGTAAGAGTGAAGACCCAGTGTCCCCTGGAGGATGACAAACTAAAATAAAATTTTTAACAGGACCAGTTTACCAAGATCTTTGAGAATCAATCAATATCTCATTCTCTCCATCCCCCTCATTCTCTCTCCATCTTCATATTTCTCTTCTGCTACGATAAAGACTGAAATATATAGGTTTTTGTGAATTTGTGATCCAAACTTGACCATCATTCAAAACTTAACTCCCATAATGTATAGAAACATCATTAAAACCTCACCTAGGGTTTAATAAGCAAAACCAGATTTCTCTAATAAATCTAAACTTTAATAATCCTATTTTAAGATATGCTCCATTACCTGCATTATGTCTTGCATTATCTAAGCGCCGAGGCTGCAGCCTCCTTGATCCCGAGGTAAAAATTTTCCAGGCATATCACCAGCGCATCCAGTGCTCCACAGTCAACTCTTGCCTAAGGTAGTTTAGAGGAGTGTTTGCCAACTGCTTGTAGCACAAAGGCAGCTGCTTTCTTGTAAAAATGCTACAAGGATAAAACGGACAAAACTCTAAGTGAATTGAGCACTTACATAACCAAAAGTTAAAACAGATCAAAATCAACATAAAAATGACATTATTATAAATAAAGCCCAACAGCTTTTAAATACAAAAGATGAAAAACATCGTGCAAAATTGGTTTTTTGATGTACTCCCATTGTTTTGTTCAGAAACTAAACTAAAAGTCTTAAGTTACATTCCAAATGTTTTAATCTGAAATATGCATTTGATAATTGTATAAAAAATGAACATTATATTTTCTACACATTCATAAAATAATGAGATTTTATGTATTTGCATTACACTGAAAGGCATTTATTTGACCCATGGGAACTCTTAGATTGTTAGCACGTGCAGCTAAACCGTCAGCTGACAGAACTATTTCCTTTCCTTGCCCTCCAACTCAGAGCCTGGTAGGCCTTTCATGCCCTCAACTAATCTTCCTAGTGTCCCAAGTTATCCTGAAATAACAACTGTGTTCTGAAATGTACTTAGCAATCAGCAGATAAACATAAAGGCAAACATTCATGATATATTTTTAAACTTTCCTTGGCAAATAAACTAGCCAGACAATAGGATATATTGTTTATTTCCTCTTAGAAATGCTTTTTTAAAAAAGACAAGTACAAATGACTTACCATTATGTAAATTTTCAGTAATGCTTCATATCTGTAATATTTTCTACATATAAATTTTATCAGATTAAGAAATAATAAAACTGAAATACAAGACTAATATGTTTTTCTTTACATAGCTAAAAAAATGAAATATATAGGAAATATTTGGCTATAACACTGTTGTTTTATGGTTAGCATAATGACACAGTAATGGTCTCCTAACTCTTCCTTTTATTAACCAAATTCAATCAATCCCTTATTTTAGATTTTAAGTTCCTCTTTTTTTATAGTGACTATAAAGTGACTGTATATACAAAAAGTGGTGACTATAGCACCTTTTTGAAATCATTCTCTTTACTTAGGCTAAAATATTAAGGTACAATAAAAATTATAGGAGAGAGAAAATACATCAAGTATATTTTAATACATATCTCAAAATCGGTATATGCTGATGTAAGAAATGTGCTATGTTAGTAATATTTTGATTTGATAAATTTTTTTAGCTTCTTACATGTTAACATATATAGATATTAACATATTTGTTATGAAGTCTAATTTTACATGTCAGTAACCTAATATCTACTAATTCATTATAAAAATTAGAGTTTTAAAGTAGTTTACACAGATTATTTTCTTACAATTGTGGAAAAACAATGGTGATACATTTCTTGTCATTACCTCAAGCTAATGTGAGTTTTTATATTGCCGAATTTTCAAATTGACAGTTTACTGGTTATCAATAATCACTACTAACTACAGTCCTTATAATTCACACTTTTCTGATCTCATTCTCCCTTTCTCCTAATTTCCTCTTCCCCAAATTCCTTTTTTCTCTCCCATTCCTCACCAAATGAATTCCCTTTAAAAAAAAAAAAGCAAAAGCAAAAGCAAAGCCAGAGGACTTTGTACCTCATAAAGGAGAGATTAAATCTCTTGTGAGAAAGGGTTTAAGGACTGGTAGGTAAAGGAGACAGAAGTTTGTGAATAGTGGCTCACATTCGCACTTTCTCCCCATTTCTGCCCTAGTATTTTTTGGTTTCTTTACAACTAATTCACTCATACTTAAAAAACTTCTGTTGATAACTTTCCATGTGGGATACCAAAAGTCAGACCCTGCTCTCAAAGAAAGGAGCTAAGAATCCATGAAAAGGAGAGTCTAATAGTGTCTGATGACAGGAGCACCTACAAGGAAAAAAATGTTTTGTGACTCCTCACAGAGATCAGACAGTCGTTAGTAAATGAGTTCCCAAACTATAAAAATAAGGCAAACTTTTAAACAACTAGGACTTACCTTTTTTATTCTGGCAAGAGTCACATAAAATTTACCATTTTAACCATTTTAAAGTGTAAAATTCAGTGGCATTTTAGTGAGCTCACTGTGTTGTACAACCATCACCATTCAGTTCTAGAATATTTTCATCACCCCAACAAGAAACTTCCTGCATGTTAAGCAGCTGCTCCTCATTTCCCTCCCCCTCAGCCCCTGGCAACCACTAGTCTGCTTCCATCTCTGTGGATTCGCATATTTGGACATTTCATATAAATGGAATCATACAGTATGGAAGACGTTTATGGCTTCTTTCTCTTAGCATTACATTTTCAAGGTTCATCCATGTGTAGCATTTATCAGTACTTCACCCCTTTTTATGACTAATACATTGTGTGGATATGTAATATTTTGTTTATCCAGTCATTCCTTTGGTTATCATGAATAATGCTGCTTTGAACATTTGTGTATAAGTTTTGTTTAAACACCTGTTTTCAATTCTTTGGAAAATATAACTAAGGGGAGAATTGCTGGGTCATGTGGTAATTATGTTTAACTTACTGAGGAACTGCCAGACTGTTTTCCACAGCAGCTGCACCATTTTACACTCTTACCAGCAATGTATGAGGGTTCCAATCTCTGCACATCTTCACTAATGCTTGTTATTTTCCTTTTTTTTTCTTTTTTATTAAGGCCATTCTAAGAGGTAAAGGTGCTATCTCATGGTTTTGATTTGTATATCCTAATGGCTAATGATATTGAACATCTTTTCATGTTTCTTGGTCATGTGTACATATTATTTGGATAAATGTCTATTCAAGTCCTTTGCCCATTTTTAAATTGGATTGTTTGTCCTTTGGTTACAAAAATAGGACATATCTTAAAGATATGTCAAGAAAGAATATATCCCTAGGTTATGACAAACTAGAAAAATGAATGAATAGTCCAAGACCCTACTTATTGGAAGATCCTTAACTATTTGTTAGGTGGTTTTGTATGGAAACAAAGTGGAACCAGATATGAGGGAACAAAGTTGGGGTGCTCTTAGATGACCCTTAAAAGGACTGACATGCTGCATACTTGGAAAAAATGCTTTATCAAACTTTCCATTACACACATTCTCCTTCTTTTTGGATGTTTCTTCTTCTCTTGCTTTAAAGCTGTCTCTTACAATTTCTACTAAACAGATTTCACTTGTATATAAAGATTGCTGAAAACAACTTTTTGTTTGCCTAGGGCTCTATATACCTCTGTAAAACCAATCCTATAACTTTACTATTCCAAAATATAGAAACACTGCTTTATGCATAATTCCATGAAAAATTTTGCGACCTGTTTTCTCCTTATAATAACAACATTGAAGAAAAGCTGCCTATCAGCCCCAAAGTAAAATATCCTTAAAGATATTGTTATGTGCAGTTCAAAGAATTGAAGGTTATATTAACATCCTATTAATTCTAATGGCTACAAGCTTGCAACTGCACCCAAAATATGAAATTCTTAAAATTCTAACAGAAAAAAGTAAATTGTTTTTAAAAGTTCTTACATTCTGTTCTGCCAATGAGTAAACAAACTGTGGGAGAATGTCAGCCTTCACAATTGCGTCTGCTAGGTCATCATTATAATTAGCCAGTCTCCCAAGGGCCAAAGCAGCAGTCTGCTAAACTGTTGGAATCACATCCAGAAGAAGAGGCTTCAGCAAAGACATCACACCTAAGTCAAGTTATGAAAGAACAGAAAGCAGCCGAATTGCAAGAGCAAACATACAGTTCAGCATATATGCAGATTGGAAAATTAAGGGGAAAAATCAGTAAAAACAAAAAAATTATCCACTCAAAGCTAATGAGATATTTAGAATCATCTAACTGGCTAAGACATAGAATCATACAACCTGTAATTATCAAAGCAACAGCATAGCATGGAAATAAGAAAGGCTTTACAGTGAGATAAGAGTTTAAGTCCTTGACTTGGCAAATACTAGCCATGTGACCTGTAGGGCCGTCATGAGGACTGCAGAAAGAGGTTGTGAAGCATACAATATGATGCCTATTTTTATATTGTAGGGGCTGGGACAAGGGTATTGGGAAATAGGTCCCCCCAGCCTTTGCAAATCCTGTATTTCAGGGTTCAGTTCAGGTCTTTCCCTCTCAATGAAGTCTTCTGCTTTTCTCTGATTCCAACTGTTGGGTCTTTTCTCTGAGTCTAGCTGAACTTAGAGTTTATTACAGAAATTTTATCAGGATCCATCTCAGAGCCTGGGGAGCTAGGAGGGCCACTTAGCTAAAGCCTCACATTCACGAAGGGCTACAAATTCAGATTTCTGAGGCTATCTCCAAATAAATTCTTTGAGATAAGGAAGTATATTGTATTACTAGCTCTCATAATTTTCATTCGAGGATAGAATACATAGGAGGTATCATCACAACAATCATAAAAGTAGCTCATAGTTATTAAGCACTCACTATATATGCACATTGTTTTAAGGACTTGTTTGCCATATTAACTCACTGAATTCTTATAACAAACCTATGAAGTAGGCCGTATTAGTGTGTCTGTTTTATGGATGAGGAAGGGAAGCTAAGAAAGTTATAGAAGTTCTCGCACAACTAATAAATGATGAAGCAATGTTAGAAATTCAGACATTCTTAATTGATAGTTGTTAAATAAATAATATGTATTGAAAATGGAGGAAGTGGAGAAAGGGAGACAAAAAATAATAGCATTTTGGTCATTTTATTGGACATTCTAACACTATATTAATTTGCCTTATTACAAAATATGCAAAATACTAACAGCTACTTGTGCTTTCATGATGGTGATTTAGCCTAAGGTGCTAAGAAAAGTAATGACAGAGTTCAAACTGGAACAAAATGCCCCTTGATTTTCTAAACTTAATTCACAACAGGCTAATCAGCTTGATGTTATTGTATCTTTTCTTTCAAAATATACCCCCACAATCTATAAAAGCAAATATTACCAATATTCTTTTATAATGTTACATCCAGAAACATTTGAAATAGAATAAAAGGAAAACATTTACAATAACATTTAGGATTAGACCAAAATAAGATAAATAGTACTAGCAAATAACATGAGCAAAGAATAACAATGTTTACCACAGGTACATTTGATGATGTGACCTGTGGTTTTTCATAGTTTCCAGTTTCATTTAGTGATCATTTCATGTCTGAATTGGTTTGGTGAGACCATCTTATGTAAGGCCATGGGTGTGAGTTTGAATCCCATTCAGGCTCGTTCACCTGGTCACAGCTCATGTTAAACAAATCAACTTGTCTATGTTCATAAGTGTTGGTCATACTATTATCTATATATAATTTTTTAAAGATAATTTCTAAAATATCACACAACAAAATTTTAAAGCACAGAAATAAGATACTAGAATGATTATCAAATGTGAACATGGGTTATTTCTAGGTGGTTGGGTTTAAAACAATTGGTTGATCTCTTTTTTTGTAGTTATTACTTGATTTTTTTTTAGCTTTTAAATCGTGGTAAAATATACGTTAAGAGTTACCATTTTAACCATTTCTAGTGTACAATTTGGTAGCATTAAGTGTATTTATAATGGTGTGTAATCATCACCACCATCTAGGAACCATTAAAACTGTTTTCCACAGAGGCTGCATGATTTTACACTCCCACCAGCAAAGTACAAGGGTTCTTTCTCCACATCCTCGCCAACAGGTATTATTTTTCCATTTTTAAAACTACATATAGCCACCCTGATAGGTATGAAGTGGTATCTCATTTTGGCTTTGATTTTTATTTCCCTAGCACTGACGACGGTGAGTGTCTTTTTATGTGCTTATTGGCCATTTGTACATCTTCTTTGTTGAAATGTATATTCAGTCTTTTGCCTTTTTTGGAACTGCATGCACTGTTTGTCGTTGTTGAATATAACTTGATATTTTCTGTAATGACTGCACCATTTTAAGTAAAATAAGTCAATACTCCAAAAAGGAAAAGCTGAATTTGTTAACATATATTTGAAATTTCATAATAAATACATTAATGAGGCCAAAATAGAAAGTATAAGTATGGTTGGAATAGTTTAAAAGAATCACAGTTATGTTTCAAGTTATTTTTTTCCTGATGATTCTAGTGTTTCCTTTATTCTCATTCAGTATCGTTGTGTGAAAGCAGTGGCTTATTGTTCTTTGAAACATAACTGGAAGATCAACCCACACTGGATTATTCAAACTAGGTATTTTGAATTCAATCTTAAGAACTTTGAATATTTTGAAGAATGAATTCATCTGAGACTATAATATTTAATTTAGTTATAAGTTTATTATTAGTTACAGTATTTAGCTAATATACCACAAGTCTTCCAATTTTGGAAAATTTCAGTTTGCAATTTTAGCAGTAAGATACTTTGCCCAAAAAAGGTATTTCACTTGTCCATATACTCCAAAGTATTTTCTGCTTTATATATTTTCTCTTCCATTTTTCTACTGTATCTGGCCCAGGAAAAATAAGGTCAATAAAATGACACATAATTCCCTTCCTTCTATTTTTATATTCAATATCACAGTTAGGCTTCTGCACAGATGCTTCTGCTCTGTCATATTTTTCTATATTGCTTAGTTCAGACAATGAATGAGAATTTTGAAAAATTTTAAACCTCTGAACCTATAAAAGTAAAAGTTGAACACTGAGTTTAAAATATCTATTTTTGAATAAGGTCATTCTTATTGAAGAAAATATCACCCTAAATTTATAAATTGCCACCTAGTGTTTCATAATTATCAGTCCCTGGGTATATGTTTTTATCTCCTACACAGATTAAGCATGGAGACTTTGTTCTTCTAATTTTGTCCTGAACATACAGAAAATAATACAAGAGGAACTAAGAGAGGAAGGGAGGCAGGCAGAAAGGAAAGAAGGAAAGAAAAATGGAAGAAGCATATATAACATGCAAAGAAAGTTTTCCTTACCTGCCTGTCCATTGGAATCCATGGTGGATTGATCCTTGGTGAGCAAATGCATGAAAATTTACAGCCCATAAATTACAGCAGTCTGAGTAGTTGCTATAATATCTGATAAACGAGGTCTCTAGTGAATAGCTAATGACCTCAATGAGATCTCCACTGAAGGAGCCAACATGTACTATTATATCTAATACAAAAAAATAATTAATATATTACACTCTAATATCTATAAAACAATTCTTTCTCCCTATAAAAATTGACAGAATGGTGTGAAAATGTTTCTGTAATTTAACTTATAGGATAAATCTTTACAACCCCTCCCAGCTTTATAGCTTTGAGTTTCTTTTCTATTTTTCTTGTTTCAGTGCCATATTCTGAAGACGTTGCTTCTAATACCTACACTGCAATCCAGTTATACAAAAAAACAAAAAACAAAAATAACCTTGTTGATCCTGCCTATTTATTCAAACAATAGATCAGGATTTATTTACCAAGTGGCAAGCAACAGGACTGTGTACGTAATCTCAAGAAACTAATAATCTAGTAGAGATTATAAAATAGCCTCAAAATAAACACTTCCTTTAACTCCTTTTAACAGAGCATAGGCCTAATTACTTTGATTCTCGCATGCCATATATAAATCAGGAAAGGAATGTCAAATATTTCAAAGACAAAAAAATAATTCATTCTCATATTACATGTATGTAATTTATATACATAGTACCTCAATCAGCTGTGCTTTATAAGGATGCTTAACATCTCAACTTTGTTTCTCTAAAAATAAGTATCTGCAAACTGAGCCTTTGGGTGCATTTAAGTTATAGTAAATAAAGTTTTTTGGTTGCCCAGGTTACCTCTCACCTTATTGTTTTGTTTTTTAATTAAAAAATTTTTTTACTGTGCTGAAATACACATAAAATAAAATCTTATCATTTTAACCATCTAAAATGTAGATTCAGTGACACTAAGTACAAAGTGTTGTGCAACCATCACCACTATCATTTCCAGAACTTTTTCATCATCCCTAACAGGGATTCTATATCATGTAAACAACAGCTCCTCATTTTCCCCTGCTGGCCCCTGGTAACCTCTATTCTACCTTCTGTCTCCGATTTTGCCTATTTTAAGTACCTCAAATAAGTGGAATTATATGATATTTGTCCTTTTTTGTCTGGCTTATTTCACTTAGAACAGTGTCTCCAAGGTTCATCCACGTTATAGTATGTATCAGAATTCCATTCCTTTTTTAAGACTCAGTAATATTTCATATACCACATTTTGTTTGTCCATCTTTTGATGGAATTTGAATTTGGGTGTTTCCACTTTTTGGTTATTCCATGTTTTGGAGTATTGTTGCTATGAACATTGTTGTACAAGTATCCACTTCAGGCCCTGCTTTCAATTCTTCTGAGTTTATACCTAGGAATGGAATTGCTGGGCCATGTGGTAATTCTATGTTTAACTTGAAGAAACACCAAACTGCCATAAATGCTGGCTGTAGCATTTTACATTCCTACCAGTGAAGTACAAGAGTTCCAGTTTCTCCACATCCTCACCAATACTTGGTTTTTGTAGTTTGTAATAGACATCTTAATGGGCATGAAGTGGTATTTCAATGTAGTTTGATTTGCATTTTCCAAATCACTAGTGATGTTGAGCATCTTTTCATATACTTTCTATCCATTTGTATGTCTTCTTTCGAGAAACATAACCTATTTAGTCTTTTGCCCATTTGTAAAGTGGACTTTTTGTTGTTGCTGAACTGTA